ACACAACCCTCTCACATCCCCAAAACTGTTTTCACCATCCTTAGTGAGAATCAGAAAGAACTCCCATCCCCATGGACAGAGAGTTTTATTATGCTGCAATTTCATATCAAGAGCCACTGGCCTCTTTCTCTCAAGCTATGTCCCATACCCTTTCTTCATCTGACATCCTGATGATTTCCAAAAGCAAGAGGTGGCACAGCTTGTCAGTTTGCAAGCAAGAGGGGAAAGTGGGTTGGCTGTGAGTTGCTTTTGAGAGTGGTAGCTTAGAAATATCTCCCAGCCCCAGAATTCCACCCTCTTCCCAGCACCGTGTCCCCTGAAGTCTCTCAACAGCCTCTTAGTTGCTGACCATCTCTCAAGCTTTTAAACAACTGGGAATTTGCCTAAGGGGTGTATTACATTTTGAAGTGGGCAATGTTAATTAAGCTATTATTCAAATGCAGCACAAAATTATTTTTAAAAAAACCCTTCATTTTTCCAAAAATATGTACAAACATATTCAAAGAATCCAAAGCCAGAAGACACCACTATGAACATATAGTATAACCTCCAGTGGAGTGCAAGAAAGTCGCAGAATTTACTCATAATTTTTACATTACATTTAAAGGAACGTAATTATGCTACCCAAATTTTGCCTAAAATTCAGGTTTCTATAAATAAATCTTCTGCAAAACTGAAGACCAACAGAATTTTTCCTTGAAATTGTTTTTGTATTTATATTTTTTCAACCAACATAAATATTTCTCTAGCATTTGCAACCACAAAAATGCAGCACTAAACTAGTGTATGAGAACATGAAACTAAAACCAAATTTACACAATCAAAATCTTAAATATGACAATGCTATTTTATTGTCTAATCTGTGAGAAATGAAAAAAGGGAAGAAAGCATCCATAAAGTACATAAGATTTTTAAATAACTCTTTTATTAATGTATTTTTTAAATAGTAATGGTAACTCATGTTTGAAAAAACTATGAGGACAAATTCTATTCCTCAGTGACTCCAATGCAGTCCACTGAAAAATCAATAATTTAAGCATCTATTAGTCTGTTGCAAAACTGCACCACGGGTCTATATTCTGCAAATATACTCATGAATAGTTCAGTAGAACTCTTCAGTATTACTCCCATGAATATACTTATAAGCATAAGTGTTCACAAGATCAGGACAAAAATACCATTTTTGACCGCTCTAAAAACAGCAAAACTTTGCAGAAGTGTATGAAAATTGACAAACAGACATTGAAGCCATTTGAAGTTTTGCATAAATAAAGAGTAGCATGCTGTTTTAAAGCATAAAATATGCAAATATAAATTCAGGGAAATTTGCTTTAAAACAAATTTACAAACCAATGTCATAACAGAAAATAATAGGTACTTTAAAATCTTTTGACACTGCATCTCAAAGACATAGAGAAACAGAGAGAGTGAGTAATTATGCTCATAGTGATTTTAAATGTGTCTTTTTACATTTTGTATATATGGAAGGTTTTAGAAAGCTAAATAAAAACCCATGAAATATTCAAATATAACATGAACATTTAATATAGAATAAGCCCGTGGTCCCCAACATGGAGCCCGCAGGGGCATTTCAATGCGCCCGCCAGGTGCTCGGGGCTGGCCTGGCCCCGGGCACATGGCACACGGGCGCTTGCGGGGGGAGCACGCTTGGCGGGGGGAGTGCCGGGCGCGCGGCACTCGGCGGGAGGGGGGGAGTGCCGGCCCCGGGCGCGCGGCACTTGGCGG